TTCAGAATATTTATTTCTAGGATATAGAAATATAATTGATTTTTCTATATTGATTTTATATCCTGAAAACTTCCTCAAATTAATTATTTAGTAGTTTAATTATAATTAAACACATATTTATATACTTATATATTTATACACTTAGATTTAATTAAAGATGTTCCTTGTCTCTTCCAACTTCTGGTGATGGCCAGCATTCCTTGGCATTCCTTGATGGGTAGTCAAATCACGCTAGTCTCTGCCTCCATCTTCACGTTGCTTTTTCTTCTGTGTCTATCATCTCCTCTGTGTCTCTCTTATAAGGATACTTGTCATTGGATTTAGGTTCTATATGGTTAATCCAGGATGATCTCCTCATTGCAACATCTTTAATTAAACCTACAAAGACACTTTTTCCAAATAAAATAGCAGTCATAGAGTCTGAGGATTAAAAATAAACATATCTTTTGTAAGGCCACCATTTAGCCCACTACAGATATCAACTGAGAATGTAGAGTAGGCAGTGTTATATGAGATTTGGACTTCTCATATTATAGATGTTTTTAAAGCAGTGGAACTGAATGGTGCAACTTAGAAAGTACAGAAAAAATCTAAGGACCAAACCTTGGGGCCCTACATAACTTAGCAGTCAGGAAAAGGATAAGAGTCCAGCAAAGAAAAAGGGAAACACATGCTCTGTGAGGACAGAAAGTTGTCTGTTTTGTTCCTTAATTGTTTGCCATTATCTTAGGTCCTGGTATTTAGAAAACACTCCAAAAGAAAAGAACAAAAACAAAACTCCAAACATTCCATATGATTGCTTTCGATTAGGTGGCCATTAAAGTAAGGAAAAAACAAAAACATGCCCGTGTGGTATTGCAGAATTCCAGCGTAAAAGGTATTTTCAAGAAGAGATGCTTCCTCTTCCAGCTGTGGAGCCGCATGTGGAGGAGCTCTTGTCTATGCCAGCAGCCATGCTGCCCAAGGGTCCGCTGCAGTCTGTGCAGGTCTCGGGAAGCAGGAAGGTGACCACAGCCCTGGCACAGCACAAAGAGCTAACTGTTTCAACAAGGTGAACAGTGGCCCCTGGAGATGACTGAGCTGCTTGCTCTGCAATGTATGCTCCTGGAACCTGTCCTGTTCCTGTGGAGAGCGCGGCTCCCCTGCGTGGACATCCGTGCTTGTGTGAAGGGTGGCCCACATTTCTGCAACCTGCTAGCCCATCTCCAAAGCTCTGGTGGCCAGTTACCAGAAATACATGGATGGGGCTTCAGGAAGGAAATCAAAAACACCCTCATCTAGCAGGACCAGACCCTCCCTGCTAGCAGCTGCTCCTATCACTGAAAAGCCAAAGAGTTCAGAGGCCCTGGTGCATGCAGCAGCCACCAGAAGCCTTACAGAGAAGCCAGCCACAAGGAACAGGGCTCACCTTTATATTAAACAATGGTTGTGGGATTTTAAGTTTTAAAAGAAAGGGGTGGGGGCCCCTTCCAGGTTAAGATGATGTGAACACAGACATCTATTTTTTTTCCCTCCCCAAACCCCGTGTGAAAGTATAATAAATGAGTTTTGTTCTAAACCTACAAGTGTGGGGAAAGCGGTAGAGGAAACGACAGCGACAACATTTTGAAAGGTGGAAAGCGGATGGATGTGTGATAACTGATTTAGCACCCCCAAGAAACTCAGATCCCAAGCTGGCAGCAAGGAGAGTTCAAAATCAACAAAATTTGCACCACAGCCTCAAAACGATCAGAAATTGGCAATGCTAGAAAAATGTGAAGCACAGTGTGAAGAAGAGTTCCTAAATAAGGGGGTGTAGGCAAAAGCCGTTTGAGAAACAGTAAAAATCCCAGGTCCCTTTGCTCCAACCTAGGAAAAACAGAGGAGGGATGCCAGGAGACCATATGGCCAGTGAATTGCTGAATGCAGACACCTCTAGCCTTCTTCCCCAGTACAACTCCCAACATGCTGGCAGCCAGACATTTACCCTCCAGAAAAGAAACTGAGGCTCCTTTCCACAGACGCTGATCTGCCTAAAAGCAAGACCTAAAGGCACTGACCTCAGAGTTTCCCCTATAAATGGCCCACCCAGATTCCGATTCAGTGAAGCTCAGAGTTGAAAAGTCCTTCCCACAGGCTCAGGGTGTGAATCAGTTTTTTAGTCTCACGCTTTCTTGATCATGAGCAGAGAGCCAAGGGATTACAAGCCCAAAGAAGAAAGGCTCTGCCACAGAAACTGGAAACCAAAATAAGTAAAGAGAAAAAAAAGGCAACTGTGGAGGAGGGAAAAACTAGATCCAACATGACTGGCTATGAATGGATAATTGTGGAAGCGGAATAATAGTAGGTAGGGATTCACTGTATCATTGTATCACTGTAGATATTAAAATTTTATGTAATATGAAGTTTTAGAAGGGATGGTAGGAAAGGTTTGGATTTCTCAGCAATACTGGAAACAAAAAGACAATAGAGCAATGCCTTCAAAATTTCTAATAATTGAAAAAATTTCCAGACAAATTCTATAACTAGACAACCTATAAATCAAGTGCAAAGGAAGCACCCGAGTAGATGGACTGGCCCTAATGAATCAATGACGGTCCACTCACTCTACTAGGAAGTAAGACGAAGTATTCGGGTGCACATACAGGTTGGTTGGTATATTTGGTAATGGAAATAAGAGCCAGTTCTCTTCTGATTGCTTTACTTTGAGGAGCACATAGTCTAGTGGGACATATGGATACATAAAGAGATAGTGTTTATATGTACTAAAATAAAATGGCTGAGTTCTGTTATAGAGCCATGCATAGTCTTATGGGACCCCAGCCTTTTGGCTCAGGAAAGGCTTTAAGGGGTATGTAATGCCTGAGATGAGTCTTAAGGAATGAATAGTGGTTACCCAGAGAAGAAGGAAGGGAAAAGCATTCGAAGCAGAAAGACTGCCATTAACAAAGGACAAAGGAATAAAATATCTTGGTGTGTATGGAATATAGCACAGAACCAAGCACAGAAAGTGTGCAGTAAATACTCACTGGCATCAATTAAATCACTTGGTATTTCCATGGACTTGGCATATCTAGGGTTACTAGAGGCTAGAAATGAAGCCAGAAAGTATACTGCAACTGTCTGTTACTCAAGTGTTAATCATTTTGAGACAGCAGAGTCAAGAAACAAGGTGCTGAAAACCGTATTCTGGAAGAGGTATTAAGGAGCTGGAAAATAGGAAACAACCGAGATGCTAAGGCTTCATCTACTGATGGACTGCAGCACTTATTTTTAGGAGTTTTCTGATTGATTCACAGTTCGAAGATTATTTTTGAACTGATTGAATTTAGCCTTGGCTGATACTGCATTTGTTAAATTCAGCAATCTTTATCTTTACCTATTCTTTTGCTAGTTCATTCTACAAAAATTTTTAAGTACCCACTTGTATAGACACTTTATATAAAACAGTTCTTGGGGCTTTTGTAGTCTGGATGGAAAGGCATATGCTAGAGAAATTATGCATGATTAAATATACAGATGGTATTTTTATATGGCACAAGGTTCCTGCCATATGACACAACTAGAATGTTCAAATATTTCAATACCAATAAGGTCGGCCTCAATCTTAAAAATATTACTGCAATGTTGGTGGGAATGTAAATTGATATAGCCACTATGGAGAACAGTATGGAGGGTCCTTAAAAAACTACAAATAGAACTACCATATGACCCAGCAATCCCACTACTGGGCCTATACGCTGAGAGAACCATAATTCAAAAAGAGTCATGGACCAAAATGTTCACTGCAGCTCTATTTACAATAGCCAGGATATGGAAGCAACCTAAGTGTCCATCAACAGATAAATGGATGAAGAAGATGTGGCACACATATACAATGGAATATTACTCAGCCATAAAAAGAAATGAAATTGAGTTATTTGTAGTGAGGTGGATGGACCTAGAGACTGTCATACAGAGTGAAGAAAGTCAGAAAGAGAAAAACAAATACAGTATGCTAGCACATATATATGGAATCTTAAAAAAAAAATGTTTATGAAGAACCTGGGGGCAGGATGGGAATAAAGACACAGACCTACTAGAGAATGGACTTGAGGACACAGGGAGGGGGAAGGGTAAGCTGGGACGAAGTGAGAGAGTGGCATGGACTTATATATACTACCAAATGTAAAATAGATAGCTAGTGGGAAGCAGCCACATAGCACAGGGAGGTCAGCTCAGTGCTTTGTGACCACCTAGAGGGGTGGGATAGGGAGGGTGGGAGGGAGAGAGACTCAAGAGGGAAGAGATATGGGGATATATGTCTATGTATAGCTGATTCACTTTGTTATGAAGCAGAAACTAACACACTATTGTAAAGGAATTATACTCCAATAAAGATGTTAAAAAAAATACTAAGTACAATGGTAATTTTTAGTGCATATTACAAACAAGTGCCAGGAAAAAAAACAAAACAAATTTGGTCTTTATATGTGTTCATTATAATGAAAATACTAACCACTACTTACTATTCATGTGAAATTATAAATTTTTATTCAAGATGAGTCCAAGCCTATTGGATAGACTTTGAATACTAGTAAAATGACAGAACATACTACAGGGAAAGAGTAAGAACATATAGACTCATTTTCTTTTAAGTTTGAAAAAAGGAGTCTTTGATTCAAATGGAGCTTCTGTGTGGTGAATTAATGGGTCATCATAACCAAATGATCGTAAGTCACAATTTAACTGAAAACCAGAAGGATAAAAATAGCAAAGACTAAACATATAATATCCTTCTTTCTTCATCTTTGCTTCTGGAAGGTGTGTCTTTCCTGAACTATGAATCATTGCCTCAGACCTTGCAAATTTGTTCCATGAGAGGGAAGTACCAGAGAGCATTAATACTCTCATTGTGGGTATCCCTGCTCAGGAGCGAAACGGTGCACAGTCTGCAGTTTGGATAACTCTCCTTCCCCATAGGTTGCATAAAATGGAAACTAATGTTAAAAGAAAAATAGTCCAAGTAGTTTCAGCCTTACCTTTCTATAACAGCTGTAGTGACTGTATTAACAGAAGGAAGATCTTATTGCCTCCTAGCCTTCTTTAACCAGCCTGGGTTATTGTCATAAGCAGCCACATCACAGAACTTCCAACAGCCCAATCCTAAAAGGTAAATGAAAGTGTGATTCATTAAACGTACAGTTTACGCTTGATATTTTGGCAACCGTTGCTACTCTATAAGCCTAGAAATAAAATGAATAGGGCTTGAATTTTGAACCAGAATCAAAATTGAGGTTTTCTTTCTTTCAAGACTTAGCTTGCTTGTTACAGAATTTTACCAAATTTCCAGATTACTAATCGTTATATTAACAAAAAGCAATTTCAATATTGTTAGAAGTATAGCATTGTTGGGCTTCCCTGGTGGCACAGTGGTTGAGAATCTGCCTGCCAATGCAGGGAACACGGGTTCGAACCCTGGTCTGGGAAGATCCCACGTGCCGCAGAGCAACTAGGCCCGTGAGCCACAACTACTGAGCCTGCGCGTCTGGAGCCTGTGCCCCGCAACAAGAGAGGCCGCGACAGTGAAAGGCCCGAGCACCGCGATGAAGAGTGGCCCCCGCTCGCCGCAACTAGAGAAAGCCCTCGCACAGAAACGAAGACCCAACACAGCCAAAAATAAAAATAAATAAAAATTTTTTTAAAAAGTATAGCATTGTCTAGAGTCTGTGCATGTACTTTATTTCTGATATTTTTGCATTCCCTATAATTTCTATTTTTAATATATTCCTTTTGGTTATTCTATTAAAAAATAAAAATTAGGATTGACTTTTTAGCTTTTCTCCCAAGACATTTTTCTTTCCGTATATGAAACAAAAATTGCAAATGACAACATCTTCAAAATTATATAGAAATAAGTTATGTACCATTTATACTCTTATTTGTCTTCCCAATAATAGTTGCTTAAACAATTATGATAACGAATTTGTGGGTGAAATTATTATTACTTTGTATTTCTTTAAGCTTTCCTGGCTCATTCAGTGTACAACAGCAACACCTACTGGACATTTTTGTACTTCTCAGATAAGAATCATCTCACTACCATTCAAAGTATGAAATTGGCTAAGGAATGCAATTTATACGGGTATTACTGATGATTATAGTTCTTAACACTGCTCTGATCAGCAAACCTGTGAATTTACAGAGTTCACCTAACATAAAGAATGATGATCAGCCTCACAATTATTGAGTATTTAAAGGTGAGAGAAGTATTTAAAAATGTGTGAAGATACACATATAGTCAGTCTGTGCTTCAAATTTAGTATGTCATATTAATTATTTTCTAAAACTGATTTATAAGGGAAGCAGAGCCAATGCCTGAATTGTTGGTAATAAAAATTCTCAGAGTTAAGCCACTCATTCTCACTCACGTTCCTGTACATCTGTGGAAAGATTCTTAATAGAGCTAATTGATGCCATTGTGATAAAATCAATGCACAAAAGCAAAATAACGTACGCTATCCGAGGAGATGATATGTAAGTGCAGTTAACAAGGGGGAAAAGCTATGCTAATAACAACATTCTCATTTTCTCTTGCCACAGTAAAGTTGGATTTGTCAGAATTCAATTAAAATCAGCGTGGGAGAGAGGATTTTACACATTCATGGAGAAACATATATAGCTGCCGTCCAAATGCAATAATACAGTATTTAATATAGTTCTGATACTCTCACCACTTTTCTCCCCAGAATAACTGAACCTCACTAACTCTGCACACAGCTCCCCCGCTAGATTGGATCAGAGACCCAGAAAGACCTAGTTATGTAGAAGAAAAAACTCATCCTTAGCTCCATGTTTTGGGGGTTCATCCAGCTTGTTCTTAGGATCAGGCATGCGGGAAAGATTCGGGACTTAGATTCTGGTGTAGGGTGGGAGGGAGCAAAATGGAGTCATTTGCAAAAGGTAAAAAAGGACAGAGGCACTCCTAGAGAGCTCGGTCATGTAATCACTCATTTAATTAATCAGACATTACTCAGTGAATTTCTATATCCGCAGAGCACTGATCTGGGGACTGGGGACTGTATAGCAGGGGTCGGCAAGCTACTGCCAGCCTGGGGCCCATTTTTGCACAGCCTGTGAGCTAGGGATGAATTTTGCATTTTCAAAGGTTGTTGAAAAAAGAAAAGAATATGTGTATGGGGAAAAACTCGGGTATTTCCTCCTATGAGTCTCCTTTACTCTCACACTACTCCTGCATTCACAACAATTCTGACATTAGATGTGAGGGTGTTTCCCCCACCAAGAAATCCTGTGACACCAGCGGGGTGTCCTACGATTCAACTCAATTTTGACACTGCCTACCTGGAGATAGCATCCGATCCCACAGGTTAAGCGCTCAGTCCCATAAGACCGTTCCCCTTTTCAGATGCCAATCACAAGTGGTAGGGCCCCAAGTTAACCACAACTTCTGTCCAAGTTGGCTACAAATCAGAGGTTCTCACAATCCCTTCCTTGGGTATAATTACTTTGCTAGAATGGATCACAAAACTCAGCGAAACACTTTAGGTTACCAGTTTATTAAAGAATATGTCAAAGAATACAGCGAAAGAGCCGGATAAAGAGTTCAGGGCGGGGTCTGGGAGGGTCCCGAGCTCAGGAGCTTCTGTCTCCTTGCATTTGGGGTGTGTCACCCTCCCAGTATGTTCACCAACGTGAACATTGGTGAACAGGACGTGTTCACCAGCCTAAAAGCAATCTTAACCCCATACCATTGGGATTTTATGGACGTTTCCTCACCTAGGCATGATCAATTATTAACTCTGTTTCCAGCCCCTCTCCTCTCTCTGGAGAAGCGAGTGGGGGGTTGAAAATTCTAAGCTTCTTATCATGGCTTGGTATTTTTGGGGACCTGCCCCCATCCAGGAACCATCCAGGAGCCCACCTAGAATCACCTCATTAGAACAAAAGACATTTCCATCACCAGGAAGTTACATGGGTTTCAGGAGCCCTATGTCAGCAACTGGGGTCAAAGACCAAATATTAGAACAAAAGATGCCTGTAGTGCTCTTATCACTTGGGAAACTACAAGAGTTTTAGTTTCATTATGCTGGGAACTAGGGGCAGAGACCAATATACATATTTTTACTATTATTTAACAATATGTGACAGAGATATATGTTGCCTGCAAAGCCTAAAATACTGACTTTCTGACCTTTTACAGAAAAAGTTTGCTAATGCCTGATATATAGAGAGATTTAATGCTCATGAAGTTCGAGTCTAGAAAGGAAATTAAAACAATAACAAACACAATAACATAACAATAACATGATTTTTTGATCTTTTACTATCTTTTGAGCATCGAGTTAGGTGTACTACGTCATTATCACATTTAATCTTCATCAACGAACCTATAAGGTAGTTATGATTATTGTTAACTTACCAATGAAGAACCCAAGACTAAAAAAGGTTAATATCAAAGACCACATAAATGACCAGACCTGGCATTAAAATCTAGGCTGTCTGACCCAGAGCCCATAGCCACTCAGTTCAGGTACACAAATAAAATGACAAAACGTAGAAAGTGATAGGTATCTCAAGAAGCAGAACACAACACGCTGTGGGAAAACAGATGTGGCAGCTAACACTGCCGGAGGGGATGTTCAGGGAAGATTTCAGGGACAAGGCAGCTTTTAAAGGTCCTGAAAGATGGGAAGGATTGTAACGCTGTGGTGAAGGACAGGGAGCCACGGGACAGCCTAGAGGCATTGGTGTGTGGAGGGAACAGGGAGTCCCATTTAACGAGAAGGGAGTACTGGGAGACCAGTGGAAAACCTGGATCAGTGGGAGGTCCCAGACGGCGCTGAATGCAGAACTAGGGGAAAAACAGAATAGAAATAAATGTGACTAAACATTTATGACTAAACTATTAGCACAATCAGCCCGATGCGCTGGGGAGATTAATCTGAGAAGGATATATTGGATGGAGTAGTGGAAGGAGAACAGAGGCAGAAACATACGGTAGGAGACTACTAACAATAATCCAGATCTGAGATGACAACGATCCAAATTAGAGGGGAGACGAACAGAGTGGCAGAGAGAGATGTAAAGAGTATTGTTAAGTCTCCACCTACACTCCTTCCAAAGTCACAAAGCCACGCCAGAGGGAAGGCAAATGGCTTGGCAATCACAAGCCCCTCTTGCTTCCACAGGCCCCTCGGGCTACATATTGCCTTTTCATGACATCCTCAGTCTAGTTTTTTCCCAGCCTCGTGCCAACACACACACACACACACACACACACACACACACACACACACACACACACACACACCAGTTTGACTGTTTTGCTGACTAAAGGTCCCAGTTTTAGACATAAAGAACAGACTTGTGGTTGTCAAGGAGGAGGGGGTGGGAGAGGGATGGATTGGGAGTTTGGGATGAGCAGATGCAAACTATTATATATAGGATGGATAGACAACAAGGTCCTACTGTATAGCACAGGGAACTATATTCAATATCCTGTGATAAATCATAATGGAAAGAAACTAACACATTGTAAATCAAATATACTTCGAAAAAATACATTCTTAAAAAATAAAAATAAAGGTCCCAGTTTTGGTCCTCTTGATAAAGTCATGACTTGATATTTGTTTTAATGGAATTTCACCTGAATAAAAATGTCAATGTTGTGGGGCTGAGTGGGGAGGTGGAGGGAACAATGCCCACGCAGTGTGATTTCCCAGGTCCATAATCCACAAAAACTGTCCTCCAAACAGGTGGTGACATCTGTACACAGATCTACAGCTCACACTTCCTGACATGCAGGCCTTGGTTTGTTGGATCTGTCAGTTCAGTCACTTAAAAACTTAAGTGGGGGACTTCCCTGGCAGTCCAGTGGTAAAGACTCTGCACTTCCACTGCAGGGGCCATGGGTTCGATCCCTGGCCGAGGAACTAAGATCCCACATCCCAAAAAAAAAATTCGGTGGTTATTTAGGAAGGGAAATAAGAGAGATGAAAATTTGGTCTGTGCTCTTAAGAAGCTAAGAGTTTAATAGGTAAATGAACTATTGATTGAATAGTCCAATGAATACAGAATGTTTTAATATAAATGCATGTTAATATCATCAAGTTAAATTCATTTGAAACATTCGAGGAATAAATTTT